ACAGAGCAAAAGAAAATAATACAGAGAGAGAGAAGTGTCAATCTCAATTAGATAGTTGAGTCGCACTATTCAGTGATATCGACACATCACCATACGCTCAATTTAATCGACACGCCTTCTTCATTGTAAAGAAGTAACAAAAAGTAAGTTGATTTTCTATTTTGATATTTTAACTGTGATGAAATTATGGATGGTTCTTCATCTAAGCGGATTTTATGTTCTACTAAATCATTAGTATATTATATATATAGTATTATTACATCAGTTCGAGGTTTGTATTTTAAATGATCTTTTTTTCATAATTGGTTTGCTTTATATTATCTTGATAACAATGATGGATATCAACAGCGTGGTGAAACGAGAGTCCCCATCCGTAGTGAAGTTTCTTCAGTTTTCATTTTTCTTCATTAGAAATGAAAATAAAAAGATTATACTATCTCGAATGGACTTTGAAAAGCTGTTTCTTTTTTTACTTTGACTGCTATCTCTTTGTTGATTTCTCTAAAACTTTCTTCTACTTGATAAATTTGTACTTTGTCTTTGTGGGTCGATCATAGTCGATTAACTTAAAAAGTTATATCTCTTGTATATTTTTTTTTACAGATTCTGTTCTATATGTTTGTATCCGAATATTCTAATGTTTTATCGAGCGTGAGAGCCGAGGGACTCGTACCTGTCCGAAAATGAGGCTGGCATTTTCGGATTTTTAAACTGCCCCATCGGAAAAGAACATCTAGATAAAACACTGAAATCTTCGATTAAGTTTATTGAACGTTTAATAATCAAGTTAATTTTGTACTAATCAAAGTTAATCTCAGATCATATTCACTGATACTGTTTTCAAATTTAAACTTTTAGATATAGAATTGAGTTAGTGTGTTGAAGGAGAATATATCTTTTATGTATCACGTCACGAAGTATTTTTCGTTATTCAATGTCTTGAATAGCCAATTAAAATCAAGCAAAGACAAAAAAATAAAGAATATTTAATCATTGAGATAGTATTGTTCTTTTTTTCTATTTAGATAATATTTTAATGGCACAATCCCAAGGTTACAAACGTTTTCGCTCATCAATCAATACTGTCTATCATGGTACGAGTACTCCACAAACGTCCAACAATAAAATATTTCCTCGTGCTTCAACTCCAAATCCTCGTTCAATAGATCCGATTGAACAACAAACAATACCGGTTGTGCCTTCTCCACGTTCAAAAATGATTGTTCATCATAAAATTCATAAAAAACGTCGACAACATCGTTCTAATCATCATTATCAAATTCATATTGATCATATTGTTTTGATACAACAACAAAAAAAACCTTGTTCACATTGTCATTGCAAAAAACCAAAATCTCAACGAATCATAGGCATTCTCTAGACATGTATAATATATATATATCATATTTTTTCTAAAACAAAGTAGAATTTATTTGTTATCATTGTCTTATTTTGTGTCTTTTAATTTTCAATAAATGAAATTGAAAAAATATGTGTTATGTTCAAGTTATTACCAATCATCTCGATCCAAGAGAAGCAAGAGTTAGACAATTACCAAATCTAAACTCTATCTCTGTATTCGGCAACTATTCAACCAGTTCAGATAGTGTGAGATATTTGTCTAAGCTTTTCTTGAGGTATATGATGACGGACACAAAGTTTAAACCAGTTATATCTTTAAACTTTCTTCTCGATGACAATAGCTAACAATAATCTGAAAAAACATTTGCGTAGCTAAAAAAATTCTCGATTAAGGTTGGTAGATTTTAAGCCTTGAGTAAAACTGCTTGGGAGAGAGTCTGCAGAAAACTAAGACCTCGCAAATCAGTTTTCTCACTTCCTTTCAAAGCTATTGGTAGAAGATTTTATTTGAGAGAGCAAATGATTCTAAGCGAGATGAGACATCATCGATCTCTTCATGACTTTCCTTCATCGAACTGTATTCAATTTGTAGAAGGCTCTACGGCGTTAAATATGGAAAAAACATTGAAATTTTCAATAGAAGAAGAGAAAAATGCTTCTTTGGTTTTTCGTAAATTGAATGCAGTTTGATGAGAGAATGTCATGGAGAGATCAGATCAGGGTTCCCGATTGTTTTGAAAAGTGGGAGGGGCTAAAAATTCGGCAGAAAGTCTAAAAATTTTGGCAGAAAGTCCAAAAATTTTGGCTGAAAGTGCCTCACCTGACTTTTCGGCAGAAACTGAACAACGAATGCTAATTTGATCGACTGTCTACGAGCTTTTGTTGACAGAAAGTATTGTCCTTCGACTTTCTGCCAGAAAAATGGTGATTAGTGCTTAAAAATTGAGTTTTTGCCAGATATTACTATGAAATTTTCAAAAATTTGGCAGAAAGTGTAAGAAATTTTCGCAGAAAGTCGGACATTTTTTCAAGTTTTGGGGGGGGGGCTAGACCCCCCCAGCCCCCCCCTAATCGGGAAGCCTGGATCAGATACATATTATTTTAATCATTGTTATTTGCTCTCTCAAATAAACTCTTTTTTCAAAAGCTTTAAATTGATGCCAGAAAACTGGTTATGGAAGAAATCTTAGTTTTAGTGACGTCTTCAAACATATCAATTCTGATAGAGAATCCTTTCAGGAGGGGTGTCCAAGGACTGAGGTTTGGGAATTCTTCTAATTCCTAAAATCACCAGCTAAAAGTGATATATCCCTCGAGGAACTGAGAACTGACCCTCAAGCACTTCACCAAACCTCCTCGGTTCGTCATCAATTCCTTGTCGTGAATAAATCACAAACCTTTGCAACGACAGTTCTCAAACCACGATACCTTCTCATTTCCTCATTTTCTCCCGTGGGTATCGACCGCCGACAGTTCCTCAGATAAGGAATCGAGGAAATAACTAGAACTAACCGTCAATACCAATCGGGGGGACTGACACCAACATTAGCCACCATCATTCGAATCCTATAAGAAGGATCCAGACAATAACAATTACCACACCAGTGCGAGGAGACGGCGGGGAACTAAGGAATTGTGACAGTTTTGTTGACAATTCATAGGAACTGAGGTGGATACCTAGAGACTTTCTAGGTATCCACCTTCGTTCCAAGAAACTGTCACAGTTCCCCAGTTCTCCGGCTTTTTTCTATATATGGTATAATTTTAGTATCTAAAGAGTACTACGTCATTACCTCAATCCCCTGGAGAACTGAGGGTAGGTACCGTGTAGGTATTCATCTAAGTTCCTAGGAAGTGTCAGCAGAACTGTCACAATTCTTCAGTTCCTCGTCTTTTTTCTGTATCTGATGTGATTTTAATATCTAAAAAGTACTACATCGTTACCTAAATTCCTCGCAGAACTGAGGTAGATGCCTAGAAGGAACCTACCATAAGTTCCTATTACTTCGAGAAGGATTGATTAGCTGAGTCGTATATACCTTCGTTAATAGGGATAATTCTTTATTTTTCCTGGGGAATTGGTCACGGAAATTTCAACCAAGGAATTGACATTTAGAACTGGGCAGAACTGTGGGGGGATATGTCAAGGGAACGAGAAGGACTGAGGCTTTTGATTTTTTTCTGATATAAACTCTATACTTCTTGGGAGGCTTTCTTGATTCATTTAAGGCAGCATAGATACTAGAGAAAGATTTAACTTCTGCTGACAGTTCCTGGGAACTGAGGTGAATATCTACGCGGCACCTACCATCAGTTCCCCAGGGGAATTGAGGTAACGATGTAGTACTCTTTCGATAGTAAAATTATACCGGATACAGAAAAAAGCTGGGGAACTGAGGAATTGTGACAGTTCTGCTGACACTTCCTAGGAACTGAGGTGGATACCTGCACGGTACCTACCCTCAGTTCCTCGAGAGAATTGAGGTAATGACGTAGTACTCTTTAGATACTAAAATTATACCATATATAGAAGAAAGCCGGAGAACTGAAGAACTATGACAGTTCCTTGAAACGAAGGTGGATACCTAGAAAATTTCTAGGTATCCACCTCAGTTCCTATGAACTATCAATAAAACTGTCACAATTCCTTAGTCTCCCGTCGTCTCCTCGCATTGGTGTGGTAATTGTTATTGTCTGGATCCTTCTTATGGGATTCGAATGATGGTGGCTAATGTTGGTGTCAGTTCCCTCGATCGGTATTGACATTTAGTTCTAGTTATTTCCTCGATTCCTTTCTGAGGGATTGTCGGCGGTCAATACCCACGGGAGGAAATGAGGAAATGGGAAGGCATCGTGGTTTGAGAACTGTCGTTGCAAAGGTTTGTGGTTTATTCACGACAAGGAATTGACGACGAACCGAGGAGGTTTGGTGAAGTGCTTGAGGGTCAGTTCTCAGTTCCTCGAGAGATATGTCACTTATAGCTGGTGATTTTAGGAATTGGAAGAATTCCCAAAACTCAGTCCTTGGACACTGCTGCCTTTCAGTTACACAAATGTTTTTTCAGATTTCTGCTAGCAATTAGCATCGAGAAAAAAAACTTTAAAGTAAAACTGCTCTTAAGTTAAGTTCATCACTATATGAATAATTATGGAAGCACTCTAAGGTTCTGTTAAGTTCAAGTTCGAGTATTTATGAACATTGCTGATTTTTTTCATTATGTCTATGGACCTTCGTTTTTTTTGGATCATTTATGTCAATGCATATATATCTATCATAGCTAAGTCTGAAGCTCTGTCTCTGTCTTTTAGTTTACTTCTACTTCTTTTTTTGATTAATTAACCGTACATGCTTGTAGTCAAGACTGATTTCGAACGTTCAAGCTCAGTGCATGTTTTGCAAGAATAATGAGATAATAAAAACAAAGTTTAGATGATGATTCATATTTTGTTCATTGCTCCTTATATTTTTGATCAGCAATTTAAAAAAAAACAGTGAGTGACATAGAAAGGAATTATAACAACCAGATAAGGCACCGGTCACACGAAGCAACAAATATTATCGAAAGAGAAGAATTTCTAATGTATATAGACAAATAAATGTAAATATCAGCAAGAAAAAAATAATAAACGAAGAACTATTAAACATAATGAGTTCTTGACGAATTCATATTATCTTGAAAGAGCCAATAGAGGCTAACAAGACTTTCACGGGATGGATCTCTTGCTGATAATGATGAATGTACAGATGGTTGTGTTAAATTTGTTGGAGATGAATTATGTATCAATGAAGTTTGTACTGGTTGTGGTGATTGTGATGATGCCGATATCATGGTTCGAGAATGATTTCGTCGTCGTTGACGACGATAGGCATAAAAACGATTACCAGCTCGAGTATGATTTATGGCGAGAGGTCTTGTTGGAGTTGGAGTTGAGGTTTGATGTCGAATACTACATTCTAATAAACTATTAGTCAATTGACAGAGTCTATCTACTTTCATATCCAAACTTTCTACCTATAAACAAAAATATTAAAATTACATTTGTTTAATAATTAATAAGATGATTTTGTTTGTACTGATCGATTGATTATCAAACAAAGTTATCAAGATGTTTTTCTTAATTCGCAAAACAGATGATTTGCTTTTACTTAGAATTAAAATGAAAACAAATATTGAACAAAAAAATCCAGCTAAGTTTGTTCTTATGTAATACGAAAGAAGTATATCAGATTCGTACCAAAATAGATGTTAGAAAAGCAGTTCCTGTTATAGAAGCAAATTTTTTATCAGTATTAAGCTATTCATACTATTTAGCCTAAGACTAGATGAATCTTCCTTAATGACATTGACATTTTCACAACAGGTACAATGATGAAAAAACAGAATGTTCAACTTTAACTTTAATTTGTAAACAAAATCTGTAAATGACTTATAAGTTTTGTCGAAATGGTTCAGCCTTATTTGTTACATGATTGAACAAGATTTTTCATAAATTTATTCTGCAGAAGTTTAAATATAACTTCAAGAAAATAAGTTGTTTTTATATTCATTTTGTGAGATGTTACGGATGAAAGATATTAAGAAGCTTAAGAAAATCATGTAATTCAACTTCAAATTATAGGTGACATACGAAGAGAAAGAAGAATACGCTTGTCTTTCCGCTATTCTTGCGATATACGGAGCTGCCTAGCTCAGATTTAATATTTAGATATCTTCGCTATAACTGATACTAGCTGTAATTCTGAACAGAAGATCAATCTGATGCAAAGTTCTTGAGTTGTACATGTACACTAACTAACCTCAAGAGCAAATGTATGTCACAACGTAGTCAGCATGCTATTGGGCAAATGATTAGAGACAAACAGTTGTTAGTGACTTGTTCGAGTTTATTCTATGACTCATGGTACTAAAGGTTTCACATTGTATTTTGGAGGTACGCGTGCCTAGTGCAATGTAGTCACTCAGCCATGGCGATTCAAAGATATTTTACTTGATATGAATTGTGTAAAGTAATCGAGTTGTCATGCGAATAAACTTGATTTTCATAAATAATAAAAAAAACTTTTTCAAATAAATTTTGAGATATCTCAATATTGCAATACTTCTCTATTTTTATATTTGCTATAAGGTTTGACTATGCATGCTATGTTAGATATGGCAACGGCTTATTCATAAGAAAAAAAGCTGATTAGTCTTAATCTGACCAAAAAGAATCAAATGATATTATATCATAAAATTAATTTTTTATTGTGTTTGCATTCATATATCAATGATCATTAGTATAATTTAAAATGAAATTGAATGGAACGAAATAGTAGTGTCTTCTTGATTGAGCATATTTTTCCTTAATTACAGACAAAAAAGATATCCGTAAAGTAAAATCGAGAAAAGAGAGAAAAAAAAATTTTCACATTATGGAAACAAACGAAAATAAATATAGTAAGATGATCAGTGTAGATAGTCCGATTTAAGAAAAATTAATTTAATATTTCATAATATTATTGAAGAAATTAAAAATATAAATTTCTTCAAGATTAACAGATTTAATTGTCTGTAGATATAATGAAAATGATTTATTTTCTTCTTCATTCTGAATCTCTATTTGATCTCATTAGAATGCGACTAAAAACTTACAACTACGTAGAAAGATAGCATGGCCAATTAAATTCTCATTATCAACCGCATCTAACTCTTCGAGCCTGGATAAGATGTATCCAGGAGTCAGAAGAATCAAACTTGGTTCGGATTAAATAAACAATAACGTTCGACATGTCTTAATAGAACCACATTAATGAGAATATGAAAACATTTTTGTTCAAGAAAAGCAAGAATATCTAAATGGTCTTTTGAATCTTAATAGTGATCAAAAGAGATTGTACTTTTTTCTTATCAATACATCAAGATGTTTGATCCAACGACTTAGACGATCTTAAGTATAAATATAATAAAAATTATATGTTCAATTATGTTCGTTAATGAGTTTTTAGTCCATTTGTGTTTCTCTTTCCCTCAGTGTTTCATCTAGATTTCCTCTTTCGGAGGAGCGAATTAAAAGTTCGGAAAGACGAATATTTATTTTTGGGAGTACAGACACATAGTACAATAACGACAAAGAACATGAGAATCGATCCGATTTTCGAAGAGGCGTCGCTTTCTCGGCCTTTGCGCTGTACTAAACACTATTATTTCCAATTCTGCTTTGTACATATTTTTCCTGAGCTGACCAAAAAATGTGTCCGCAATTAAGACGTAGTTGCAATAGCGTTTAAAACAGATATTACCTGTCTTTCAATTTTACATATTCTCGATGTTAGACTTGGGCCTGATTCATAATTATCAATTGATTTTGATGTACCCAATACTTTATCCAATCTAAAATAAACATTATATATATATATATATCTAGAATAATTTTATATTCTATAAATTTTACCTAGCTTGAAGATATTTCATTCTAGCAAGCATATCAACATTGCCTGTTGAATATTGTTCTATAACATCAGTAACATCATATGGACGTAAAGCTTCACGAAATTTTCGTCTTGCTACAAAATATTTAACTTTTCGTATAAATCGAATTGTATGTCGATGTGTTGGTGTTAATGATTGAACATCATTTGCATAATATAAATGATCATCTTCACCCTCTATGTGTAAAACAAAATTAAAAATTTTTTTCATCAATTCATACATAAGAAAACTAATTTACCGGATGAGGATACTTCTTGTGGTACGTTCATGCATGCTGATGGTGTGATACTAACTGTTTCTGAAAGTGTATCAATACAAGAACGCATTGCAGCTACTGTTGAATTTGGTACAGATTTTATATTGGGACTATTACTTCTATTAGAATTAGTTAGAGGAATCGTTGCAGTTTCTCGTGTTGGTGTGCGTCGTCGAAAACTGACTCGATTTAAAAATGACTGATTATTACGCATTCTAAATGAGCTAAAGGAACTAGAGAAGAAAAAAAATTATTATAATAATAAACTAGATATGTGTTGTTCATTTTTTAAATAAATTATAAAAAAAAAAACAAGGTCATACACTGGATGAGGATTTGTTTGTGATGTTGTAGCAACATTGGTTTCTTTACGCGGTGGACGTACATGTACTTTCCAAGTTGCTTTTGACAGAGATTTTTCATCAGCTGCATAGACACGCCATAGATTTTGTATTAATAAAACTGCAGGAATCTTTCGTCGTTTATAATGTTTTTGACGTTGTTGTTGTTGAACTTTTAATGCAAAACCAGAACCAAGAATACCCTATAATATTTATTAAAATAAAAATAAAAACTATCTACATATAAAAAAGAAAATACCGCAGGTAGAGCAAAGAAACTAATACCAATAAATGAACATATAGCAGCAAGTAATTTACCAATATATGATGATGGTACTTTATCACCATATCCTACCTATATAAATATTTATCTTTCTTTGTATTTAAAATTTATTAAAAATATCTTACTGTACATAATGTAATCTATAAAAAGAAGAATGAAAAATTAATTAAAAAATATAATAATTAATACAATGATTAATACATACAATTCCCCACCATAATGCATCAGCAAATGTTTCAAATTTATGTCGATCAGTTTCAATTAAATTTGTTATTGAACTTGATGTCATTAGATTTGTTGTATTATGAATTAATCTTTCTTTTGTTTCAATAATACTATCTTTTTCAACAAGAAACATAATAAATGATGAAAAAATAAGTACTAAAAATTCAATATAAATTGTTGTTATAAGTTCCTTAAATATGAAAAAAAAAACATGTTAATTATTTAGAATAATAAAAAAAGAAAACAAACTTGTCTATGAGCATAAACAACAGAACCTAATAATTTCCAAGTACCACCACGACGATCCATTCTTAACATACGAAGAATTTGAAAAAAACGTAAACCACGTAATGCTGATGCAGCAAAAACTCCATTACCACCTCGACTATTTAGACAAAGTGTTACGACAGTTGCCATAATTACAATAAAATCTATATAAAAATATTCATATATTTTCATTTTGTTTTCTATTTCCTTTTATACACAAACCAAGAGCACAAAAAGGTTTTTTCATAAAACGTAAACGACCCATTACTGTTTGATAACGAGAACGGCAACCTGCACTCCATACACGTAATACAAATTCAGTTGCAAGCCATATAACTACAATAATTTCCTTGATTGAAAAAAAGAAAAACTCAATTAGATATCATTAATACATAGTTATTTTATTAAACAAATATTTACAGTTTGTAATAACACAGTTGATGCTATTGATTCATATTCAGGCATTGTAACCACCACAGAAAGAAATAGACATAGAAAAACGGTGAAAAACCTATTGAAATCAGAAAAATATTACATATTTCAAAAAATTTTGATTAATTTCTATTTTATTTTTGTAAGAAATATATATTGTGTCTCATTGTAATAGCTGCTGAGGCGAAATCAATAAAATATTTTCATTAACTATCATACTAGTCTTGTTTTTTTTTTGTTCTCGGATGTTTCTATGTGCTATATATAGTGATTGACGCGTACTATGTCACCTTGAATGTCAGGAAATTTTTTCTTAATAATGTCTATTTTAAATAGAGCATTTAAGAATTCTTCTTTTTTTATTATTTATTTATAAATATTATCTTCATATACAATATGTTTTCTTTTTATAAACATTACAAATGTTTGATAAAATATATAAATTGATTTATTTATATTAAATTATCTTAAAACAAAAGCAATTAGTGCATTAAACGACTAGAAACATATTCTCAACAATAATAGTCATCATCAAAAAGCAGGTTCTAAGTTTTGATTTATTGAACTATTCTCCAATGTATATTGGTCAGCAGGACAATTATTGAAACGATTACTAATTAGGAAAGAAATAAAGGATTTATTTATTTTTTTTTCTTTTGACAAAAAAAAGTAATAACAATGAATACTCAGTAAACAATCTTCAAGATTTTATAGAAAAATTCTAAAGAAAATAAAAAACATGAAAACCACATTAATGTTATATGTTTAGTCATTATTGTCAATCTATAGAAATCTTTGTTTGCATTATATTTAACAAGATCTTGAAAAACATAAATATATCAGAAATTTCTATTTCCTCATTATTCACATGAGTGTACATTAATTAGAAAAACATTCCAAGGCTTATAAAAACACGTTTTTACATTGTATCTTTTAATTATAACGGTGTCCTTTCTTCATTAATGCCTAGTTTTTCTCATTTTTTCTGTGCATGCAAAAAAGCACGAACTGACAAAATCAATATCTCTGCATGGATACACATTTAGATAAATGAACTAATTCTAAATATTGATTTTTCAGTTTTTTGCAACGTATGTAAAAAATAAAAAAAGCAAAAGAAAACAACTTATGATTAATTCATGTATACTTATTTATATTCATATAAAAGTCAAGCAATTTGTAGAAATCAAAAAAAAAAAGAGAAAAAGAAAGCTTATAGTTTTTCCCTTCATTGATAATCTTATGAATGAAACATCTTCAACACAAATATCGACAAATATTGATAGTTGAATGTAGATTTTATCTATTTTCATAGTCATAAAAAAAACACTAAGATCACGTGGAATCGATCATTTTTTTTTAATAATATCTCACGATATGTCGTAGACTTATGTCAATGGTTCCAAAGGGAAAGAAGCAAAAAAACAAGAAAAGAAGATCCGTTACCAAACTTTAATCGGAGATGACTTTTGCTTATAATTCTAGTCTTTAGGGCCCTATTCTTTGCAATTAAAATAAGCACTATATGAGCTGGAAAGGTTTTTCCTTTTTCTCTTTTTTCTTTTGTTATCCTATGCCGGATGTCGAGCAAATCGATCTTATTGAAATCATTTAATGATTTTTATTGTTTATCGATTAAGAAAATGAGAAGAAGGAAACTTTTGTGTTTTTTCTGTTTTTGAAGAAAATTAATTTTTTCTTCAGATAAAAAAAGAAAGAGAAAAGATGATAATAGAAAATAAATTACTTACACAAATGTATGATAAATAACAGCTTTATAACCGTGTGGTCGTTCTAAAAAATTGTATATACGTAATTGAGTACGTCGATATGTTGCTGAACGTCTTTGAATGGGATGTAAAACAACAGGTTTTCCAAGTAGTGAAACACGTTTTTCCAGTAACATACGACTATGGTTTGCTGATAGACCAACTAATGGTCGGTATTTTAATGGTGATACATATACAGGATGAAAGTCAGTAGTTAAACTAGCCGATGGTCCAGTTGTTGTTGTTATGGGTATTGTTGTTGATATATCTTCTCTCATATTTATATATGTAACTGATGAACGTGGTTGAATATCAATGCCACTAAGTTGAGGTGTCGATGAACTTCTATGAATGATAGTCGGTTTATCGTTAGTAAATGTTACGCACGCAGTATGACTAGGAGAGTGATCGTCTTCATGAAATTCTATGGCTGTTGCTGATGCTGTTATTTCTGTTTCTGTTTTACTTGTGTCTAATGGAAAGATGAGGGATGTAGATGGTGATGTTCGAAAAAATCGATTTCTTTGCGTATGACGAGAATAATTGCGACAACGATGATGTTGCTGCTGTTGCTGTTGTTCATTGTTTTTACTTTCCTCTTCTTTGCTTTTGTTACTGCCATTACTTTCTTGTTCGTTCTCATCGCCTGTGTAATCATCAGAATCTTTCTCGTCATCATCATTGGCGTTCTCATCTATTGTGATTGATGTTTGTTGAACATTACTACAAGCGTTTGATGACATTTTTTTCTCGGTTCGTTTTCGTAATATAGAACGTAGTCCTGTTGGGGATGGTTGTTGTTCATATTGTTGTTTTTGTTTTTGTTCTTGATTATTGTCTATTTTAATGGAAACAAGTTTTGAATTTTCATCATCATCTTCTTCTTCTTCTTCTTCTTCTGCTTCATCATCACTATCATCGTTGATTTCTGTTTCTCGATAATTTTTCTTATTCTTCATTGATATTGACATATTTTGTTCGAAATTTCTTTGTTTATTTGTTGATAATTCTTTATAATTATATTTAGTTAAATGATTATTATTATTTTGTAAAGTTTTCAAAGAAGTTTTCATTATAAAAATAATTAGAATATATCTGATCAAGATTATTCATAATCATGATAACAAGTAAAAAACATTGTTTTCCAACTTTGTCACCTAAAGGAAAATATAAAAATAACCTGAATGACAAACATATGATCGGATGTATGCGATGATTCTACGTGTACATTAATCTTTCGAACAATCAATAAAATCCTCATGTTATTATATATCTTTATCAGACACGTATTCGACATCCGTTTTGTCTATATTATTTAATGTCATGTACTTGATTATATAGAAAAATCTATAGCGAATAAATAATAGATACAGTTTTGCTTATTTGAAATTTATTGGAATGATAAATTGAAAAAATATAATACTCGTAAAAGAGCATTTATACTTCCATAATAAAAAACCTATCCAATATAAATTAAGCAATTCTGATGTTCGTAAAAACACCTGATGACTACACACATAGATACATTTGTCAAAAGGAAAATTAAACCATATTTGCCGCTTTCTTTTTTCGACTATTTAATTTATTCAATAAAAATATATCTACACTTATTACTCCCTAAGGCATCTTTTATAAATTGAAAACAAAAAAGAAAATCATAGGCACAATATTACTAACCAATATGTATCCTTTATGATTATTGTCAATGATGAATATTATGATAGTCATTATCAATGTGAGTAGCACCATGTGTGTCAATGTATGAAACCAAAATTATAAAAAGAAAATCGTCTGATGTCGATGCTAAAAGATCGAGAAAAGACTATTCTTTTGTGCACTCAAGCTGCTGTTTTAATACTTATATTTTTCTCTTACATTTACATTATTGTTCTCTAAGTATGTAGGCATCATAATGACATAGTCACACTCACCAGTGCCAATAGTTAGTCAGCTATTATTGTCAAAAAAACTGAAATAGAAGGAAGTGATGTGTGAGCGAAATACAGCAGTACTATTCATCCGCTAGTTTTCCTCTCTTTTTATTATCAAAAACCCTTTTCTCTGTTTTTTCTTCGTCTCTCATGGTCATACTCGAGGCTGTTCGTCTTGTTTTTCGCTATCGTCTTTTCACAATAATCATATTTCATCATCTATTCGACACCATGTGTCATTTCTTTCTGCATCTCTTCGCTTCGTAACGAACGTATGGATAAGCTCAATAAGATCTTTCGTATTGATATATCTTTTCTTTTCTTTTTTTTGCTTTCTATAGCAAAGAAATCATCATATTACTTTAAGGGTATTCTAAGTGCATACGAGACAATCGTTCACTAACGAATCGAAGAAATCTTATTTGTAATCAAATGATTAATTCAGAAAATCGCATAGTTTTCAATGATTGATCAACATTAACTTATAGATAAACTAAAAGTACTAAGTGCATTTTTTTATGCTATGTTTTATTTTGAATTATTATGATTTTTAATCAACACATTTATCAATAGATTTTAAAACTATTCATGTCATTTGAAGCTATTCTTTCTAGAATAAGAAGATAAAGACGTACAATAGTATGAAAATGTCTTGTTAATAGAGAGAATATCAATGATTTATTGACATTCATCTCCGATAGGATGATCGTGCATGAATATGTACGATGTAAATAATAACATGTTAGCTTAAGTCAACTAACTATGATACTCATTTATCTAAAATCTTTTGTTTTTGTATTTTTGGATGAAAGAAAAGAAAACAATAGTAAATTAACTATTCTATATTCAAATCATCAATGCAAACAAATACATTATTAGAAATCTTATCGAAAATAATAGCATGTAATTATTCAAAATTACCTTATTAGAATAATGTTTTTTTCCCTAATTTAATCATTTCTCTAACTAACATGAAAAGATCTGTTTGTGTTTTCTTTTCTACTTTTATACAGAAGTATATATATATATATATATATATGTTTTAATTTTAGAATGGAAAACAACAGAGAAGGAACAGGTACTTCACTATCTAGAAGAAAACCAGAAAGCTTTTTCAACTTACAACAATCTTTCTTTTTCTCTCTCTTTCTTTTTATATTATCAAATAATTATACAGTATTCATTTTCTTGATGATAATTGTTGCAACTTTAATGATGATAGTAATAATAATAGGAAAAGGAAGGAGGAAACTGATTGTTCAATGCACATTGATCTAGTTTCAAATCGATTTTGAAAGGCTGATTCGAGTGTGACAAAAACACTTAGATGTGTTCTCTTTTCCCTCTCATACGACTTCTTTATCGGATCCGATGATTAAAGAGCAACTTACAGAATCTAGAAAACAATCTGATGAATATGCAGACTATTGCTTTTTCAAGCTTCTACATATCAACAGATAGATATTAAACGAATATATATAAATATATATATAAACGTTTGCAAATACACATACATACATACATAAAATAAAACAAGACAAGCTTAAGATCGAATAATGATTGCAATATAGGCCGAGTATGTTAGATCGGAGTGTGAAATGACTCGTTCACTCATTCTGTCTAGTAGTGTGTTCATTTCTATCAATGTGGGTTTTTTTTTATCATAGAAATGATGCGGAAAATAATTATCTTGTAGCAGAGCAGATCGGAAAAGCAAGCAAGCAAGATAGAAAGAAAAAAAAGAAGCAAAAAATATATGGATATTAGATTATCTTTATCACTTGAAAATTTACTTCTATTTTCGATAATATAAAGTCCATTTACTTCTATGTATTTTGACTTCTTCATATGCTTCTTAATAAATGATTCTTTATTTTAAAAGAAGTGCATAAGATCATAGATTAGAGTCATTGTCAATAGTAATTGAACAACGCATTTACATTATTGAAAACAATGTAACTTGAGAGTATCATATTACGAAGGACTCTGTGCAAATAATAAAAAACTTCTGAGACGAGTCTTGCGTCATTATGTTGAGTCTAGTGATACTAGACAAAACCTATACTGATTCATACTCTTGTTACTTTCTGTTCGATTTATGAACATTTTATTGAGTTTCTGTTCTAACAAAATGATGTCATTATTAGAAATTCAATGTTGTGATTTTTATCTGAAATTTTTCTTATAAAGATGTCTTACAACCACTATCATACATTGAAAGTTTCAGCTAAAACAAATATGTTTCTCTTAAGATATTATATTTTCAACAAATGTGCATATTTTTCGAAAATTCAGAAAAGTGAAATTTTCTTGTGAATCTGTGATCTCACGACGAAAACATTTTTCATACCTGAAATTTTCGGTGTATGATAGTGACAATAGGATTTATTTATGGGCAAAATTTCAAGCCAACATGATAACACTAAATATTTAATAACATATTATACATATTAGGTTAGAGCCTCAGTAAAATGTTCATGATTCAGAAAGAAAATAACAGCAGCAAGATTTCATTATAGGTAATGCGTAGTATCAGTAGATGCGACCTAATGACAGATATCTCGTTTCAAAAGCTTTTTAGCACTTAAAGAATGTCCCTTTTGAAATTCAACGTTAGTAATATTTTTCTAGTTATTCTTTTCATTTCAAGGACAAGAGTGTTTCAAATAAATTTTTCTCTAGATTCTACACACTAGAGCACCGCCCGAGGTGTTTCAGTCCTTTGGAGTTCATCGATTCGAGAATGTAGAAAAGAGACCTAGACAAGAATAAACTCAAAAAGATTAATGTCCTTAGGTCTTTTGTACAATGTTAAGATTGCGTTATTAAATGTTTATCATATGGCAGCCTATTGCTGAGAATATTGAGCAGATAATTTTTCACTTGAAAATCGATCTCTAATTAGGTTTCATTATTCTAAGAGGATTCTAAAATTTTCATCCATAACAATTACTCCTGACTCGAATTATTTCACGATAAAAAAATCGTTTAGATTGAAGAAACTATCTGATCAACCTTAAATTTTTGAAGATCAAATAGCTCTAATAAAAAGCAATTATTAGAACTAAAAAATTTTACGATCTTCTGACGATTATAAGACGTATTTAAAGACAAATTTTCAAGTCAAATATTGTTTGTTCAATATGCCTAGAAATACACTATCCTATGGTTATTCTTGTCAAGAAGTCTTCTCTATACACCCAATATATAAACTTAAATTTCATGAATTACTTCGAGCAATGTCTTTATGAATGAAAATCATTAAATTTATTATAAGATAAAGAGTAAGAAAAAAGATGAAAAGAAAAGAAAGTGACAAATTTTTCATCCATATTTTATGTTTTAAATTTAAGATGACTATTTCATAATGTAATTGAGAGATAATTTCATTTTATTCTTATTCTAACGTTGTATAACACTACAACGAGTACTTTTGAATTATGATGGTCTCATCTTAGAATAAAGAAGAATCTAAGCCTTTCTTGATTAGAATTCACCGAGATTACTCATAATCTCGTAATTTTTATTAATACCATATCAGCAATGATTTATTCAATCAAAACAAAGTTATTCAAATATTAGTTTAAAATCATATAAAGTATTACGGATAGTTATTATAATGCTTTCCATCTATGAAATCTTTTCCACAAATAGAATTTATAATAACAAAATTTTTTGTATACTTGCTAAATTATTTTAACTTTGTAAATATTTTTCTCTCAGATACTGAATAATAATAATTTACTCAAGAAAAACTAAGTTTGAGTCAACTAGGTGAAAGCAAGCATTAATGAATTATATTAAAAATTGCTGAATAAAGGAAATAAAAGTTTGAAAGCTCATAAAAGTAATATTTTATGAGAATTATAATACTGATAATTATTCTATTGATTTTTTTACTTACTTCGATTAAATCGAAATTGATATTATGCATAAATCTCGAAAAAACAAGTGTACATGTTGTGTCTTCTATATACTCGTCAGGTTTAGTAAAAAATGATTAATAAAATATTCAGACAACACTCGGCAATAATCTGATCATTGCAAAAAAATAATCATTTCAAGATGAAATCAGAGATGTAAATCAAAAAGCCTTTTATTCAAGTCTTATGATTCCTATCAAACTATTCTAACATCAAGAG